ACACACACACACACACACACACACACACACATACACACACGCGCACGCACACACATGCACGCACGTGCGCATTTACACGGTATTATATCTATACGGTACCCATGGTCACGTATAGATTTGTTAGCTATTGCCTGCAGGTGTTGACAGTAAAATCTGTTTTGTTGAGTCATATGACGTGTCTGTGCTTTAGACTCTAATCATTGAGTGGATTGTGCAATGTACAAGGATTGTATTCGGCTAAAATCTTGCGGCCATGATAAACTCGTAGAAAGCTCATGTAAAATGTTTCCCCCTATCTAAACGAACCGTGTGTGAAATGATAGACGGTGTGAAACTCCGGGGTTGCAGGCTTTTACCCTGTAGAGTTGTAAAATGCTGTGGAGATGTACAAGTGGTTATATTGCCCGACTCAGCGGACATACACTGATTTCTTAGACACTTCAAAAACAACACGCACTCAGAAGTAAAAAAAACTCCCACTTCCTGGCTAAAATTGGTAGGAAAGTAATTTTCTCGAAGTAGTTTTTTGTTTCACTCTCTTTACAATCGCGAGCGTCTTTTATTTACAAACGATTACTCAACGCAGAAATATTGCAAACGTGTTGCCACATAGAGGAATGCAAATGCACGCTCTTGATAATCTTAACGAAGTGTTACCCTTTGCCGTGCAGATGGGGGTACGATACCAGATATATGGACCTGCCCAATGGAAAGCTGCGATGGATCGGGACACACAACTGGCAAGTTTGCACGCCACAGATCGTAAGTATATATAATGATATCTATATATGTAGAGTATTTTGCTGTGAGCTGTTAGGTAAGTCTTAGGGTGACGTGAGATGCAAGAGCTTCTACGTCCAAGCTCAATTACGCACGCAAGGGGGCGCCACCGCTAACACGCGAATAAATCTACGTGTAAGTCTCTGAGAACACGTTGACACGTCGTCGTTACGCAGTGAAGCCATTCTTGCGCTGAAGAGCTGTGATTGTAACGTCCAGCGTCGTGTAGTGTAGTGTAGTGTAGTGTAGTGTAGTGTAGTGTAGTGTAGTGTAGTGTAGTGTAGTGTAGTGTAGTGTAGTGTAGTGTAGTGTAGTGTAAGGGAGGGGGGGAGGTTGCGGGTACAGATATGACTGTGATGTCAACAACGCTGAGCGTCACACCTATTATAACGTTAAATATTTATTTGTTTGTTTGTTTGTTTGTTTGTTTTCTTATTTATTTGTTTATTTATTTATTTATTTAAAGACGGCACATTGGTAAAAGGTATATCGACGTGAGTTGGCAAGCTCCTCACCATCAGGAACTCGAGGGTTAATGTTGAGGTGCGGCAACGTGGATTTTAGATAGCTTAGATCTTCATTGAGACACACCTGAGGTTAGCCAAGCTTGTCTTCCCCTCCTTCTCCTAAGTCTTTCCTCGTGGTCTTTCTCTGTGTGTTTGCTGTGTGTTTGCCTTGCGAATAGAAGCAGCATGTGAACGCGTGGATGAGGGAATTCCTTTTTTCCTCTTCGCGACTCGATCGCGTGTGATTACAAAGCTTTCAGCCGGTTGCACCGTTAATTTATTAAGGATGCGCGTATTTAACATGAAGTGAACAATTGATTATTCGCGCTACTGAATAGATTTTAAGCATGAACAGCCAACAATTTGCTAGCCGCTCAAGCTACCGACGGTTAAAAATTTGAGAAAAAAAGGTTTATTTATAGCAACGTAACGTGTTTATTAAAATGCCACGTTGATAAACGTTTATGTAATGTTATTAATTTTGATAAAAGGTTATTAATGTTATTAATTTTGACCGTCTCTAGGAACGCGCGTGACCTAGTTTCAGTCCCACGTTGATGCAGGCTCTCCAATAGACGAGAAGCTTGGCTGTTTGCACGTGGGTGTGTGTTTGAGGAGGGAGGCGATCAATTCATCTATCATTTCATCTATTAATTTCTTTTTCGTTATCTGAGGAGACATGATGTACGTTTGCACGATACATCCTGCATTGTTATATTGCTGTGTGTCCACACCTCTGGAAGGTGGAGGCGAGAGAGGAGGAGGGAGGGAGGAGGGAGGCGTGCTTCCTTCTATTCATTTCTTTTTTCGTTATTTCAGGAGACATGATGTACATCGGTAGAATGCACCCTGCATAGTTGTGTCCACGCCTCTGGAAGGGGGGGGGAATATATGTGGGAAAAATGTTTAAAAAATACAATTATTACTATATATATGTATATAAGAATTATACGTGAGAATATATGTGTGAATGTTATGAATCTTATGTGTACACTTCCCGAACTGGACAATGATTGTCACAACTGGGGACCACAATGTCCACTACAGCACTATGTTAGCTTTTACTGCAGCATTGATCATGCATCCTAGACTTGTTGGCTGTGGTCTTGAAGCAGTTTTCCACCTTTGCACTTGTGTAAAATAGATAAGACACTTTCCCTCTGCACCTCGCGTTTCCACGAGAGGTGATAGCAGTGTGTGCATGCTTACCTGCGCACATCCTGCACTTACTCTGCTGTAGGTTTTTATTGGGTCTCTCTTCTAGACTACCTGTGGTCCACGGACCACTTTGGGGCCCGTGGATGGGCTTTCAGGGGGTCCGTGAACCAGTTGCATGCAAAATTTTGTGTTTATGTGCTTATATGCGCATTTTTCTGGGGAGGGGTCCGTAGCTTTCACCAGATTCTCAAAGGGGTCCATGACTCAAAAAAGGTTAAGAACCACTCTTCTCGTAAAGTGTCGCCGTGGCAACGTCGCCTCGACGATCAACGGCGCATCTCTCTCACTGTCTCTTCCGTTTTCAGACTCGCAGCCGCAGCAGCCAGATAGCTCGAAGACGGAGAGTGCAGCAGCAGACGTGAGGTGTGATCGGGCGGGCGCCGGTGGCAAGGTACGTGCGTAGCTGCACGTGTCGTTATCCGTGGGACGGGGTGGGGACGATGCTGGTTCGACATACACAGCCTCACCTTACATACACCCTACACCACTCGCCCTACATCGCTCCTGTGTTAGCCCTGCACACACCCTACACTGTCCCTTACATTATCCCAACACCCACCCTACACCCTTCATCTTACATCGCTCCTGTGTTAGCCCTGCACACACCCTACACTGTCCCTTACATTATCCCAACACCCACCCTACACCCTTCACCCTACATCGCTCCTGTGTTAGCCCTGCACACACCCTACACTGTCCCTTACATTATCCCAACACCCACCCTACACCCTTCACCCTACATCGCTCCTGTGTTAGCCCTGCACACACCCTACACTGTCCCTTACATTATCCCAACATATACCCTACACCCTTCACCCTACATCGCTCCTGTGTTAGCCCTGCACACACCCTACACTGTCCCTTATATCTGCACTTCACTAATCCTACAACCTACTTTTACAAAACGAACATGATTGCTATTACAGTATTATTACTGCAGATCATGAGTTGTTACATTAACAGTTGTGCATCTTTAATCATGACCGTTGGTGCTTACAGGTCGATTATAGAGAACCAAAGAGAACAACACGATCAAAATCCGCAGTTGCAGGTAATATATATAAGGTCGTCTCATCACATTACCATAGAATAGAAGGGAACCCTTTGTAACTAGCTGTTGCAGTT